TCAACTTGAAAACGATTTTTTCATCAGATTCCGAATCCAATAAACGACCAAGTTGTGATACGAATGGATATAAAGAATGATACAAAAAATTATGTGCAAATGGACTGTTTGAACCTGCAGCCTGTCCCACCACAAATGGACATATTTTGACCCAGTCTTGTAATATCTTGTGATACCTAATTTGTATTTTTTAGTTTATGTTACTGTTCTGGTACTCAATGATACAAACGATGGTGATGCCTATTTTGCATTTCGGTTATATAATCATCCATTTGAATCTATCTTCTACATTCTTATTCCTAATATTATTATTATCTGTTATCTCTAATTTTGATTGATGTGTCTGTATACTTGTTTATGCACTGTAAGGAGAGGGCTTTCATAGACTCTGCCTGTTGCCCAATTCCTACTGTCAATACCACCATGACAATAAAATATTCTGAAAGTAAAAATACAAAAAAGGATAAAGTTAGGATCTTAAAGAGGTTTCATTTCATATGGGATTCTTTGAAAGGGAGTTTAGATTGTTTGATTATATTTACTGTTTTTTGCGAGCCTTGGCGAACAAAAAATTAAATCTTGAGATTTTTATTTTCAGTTTTATTAAATCTTAAATGAAATATAACCAAATTGAAGATGTCTATGTCGCAAAACATAGAAAAGTCCAGACTTGAAGGAAAAAATCCAGTGGAAACAGCTATTTTATTTCCAGTTTCCATTACATGACGGATAGTCATTGTTCATATTATAACATCAAGATTAATTTCTAATTTCTGCCTGATGCAGCCAAGCAAAAAAAAAACAAAAAACAAAACATTACATTAGCGACACATGTAGAAATATAGCATTTGGCCGGTGGGGGGAGGGGGCGGCAAATTAACTGTATAACAGACCGATTATGCGATAAAAAGTGTAAGGAAATCACTTTGTATGGATACATCATCATATCCATTTATTATAAACTGCTGTACTTAGTTAAAGCCTGTGGGAGTACCGATCTAACTTGTATCCTTCAACCTTAAATTATAACACTTGTATGAATTAGCAATAAGCCGGTTCTGTGATGCTTGCCAATTTTCTATATTCTAGTATATGTCTTCCACTTCGAAATATGACCATTACCTTTCATATTTACAAAGGCATTAAAATATTTGCTAGTTTTACACTATGTGTTGTTAATTTCCATGTCTTATATGCAATATTAAACGTCATTTTGGCGTCATGGTACTCTTTAACTTTCTTGAGTTGACTTGTCCTCATTCTGTCGTTAATTCGTTTTCTTATCATAATTATTTTTCCTTCGTCGCCTTTCTCCCCGACAATCTCAAAAAATATAATAATCAAACTTTGCACTAATAATCATGACTTCTGTTGTAGAAAAATGAAACTTAGCAGGGGGATGATATTTTTATTTGAATAACGAAAGTCCACTTTTCTCTTTTGACAGGTCGAAATTGAAACAATCGGATTTCGATCAAATTCGTATAAGAATCAGGACTACCTTGTGATACCGGTCGTTATTGTTACCTCATTTATACATTTCCACGAAATGACCGCCATTTCCAGGCAATCAATTGGTCGAAATTTGATTTATTTGTTCTACTTTAATGAAGTTTGATGTTGCGTTCCGGACGAGGCATGGACAGCTGAAGTGACTTCCGCTGTTGCTTGTTAAATATTCATTCATTCCCCTCTATAAAACAATGGAATAATTCATTTGTGTACAATCCCTATGTGACGTGTTTTCGAAGCTGTACATAAGAAGCAACACGAAATCACCATTATGTCGACATAATCATAATCCAAACTGGAATTCAATAAAACACGGACAAAATACAAACACAAAGAAAGTACAAAGAGAATAAATCCATGTTTACCGTTATAGTACGCCTTTTTTTCACCCCCCCCCCCCTACCCCCACCCGCCATCGGCGACACCCGCCATGTAAAGTTTTGTCAATCCACGCAGGAAATGTCACGTTCTCAAACATATCAACATATTGATTGATGGAGATGTACATACCAAGTACTAGATATCCTGCAATGAACTAGCGCCAGTTTTCTTTGAATTGCTACCACTAAGAACCATTCTTTTTGCACATTTATCATTAAGACACTTTTACGGTCATCATCATTCTTATACATTGTACAAAATCTCTGTTGCCAAACTACTGAAACCCGATATAACGTTACAATCAGTTTTCGCGCACAAGACAGAAATCTCATATTGTTAAGTTCGCTTCTGTCTTTGCCGAATGCAAAACTTCCAAACTCTTGTTGCGATCAATAGTTGGAATTTTCCTGCCAGCCTGACCCAGGAATGATTAATTATATCTTTAAGTTTCCTGCCGTGCAAGGTACTGAAAATCGTAGCACTGAACCCATTGTACCGCACCATGATCAATGCCATATTGAATGTGTAAAAAGCACTGATGTCTAGATGATACGGCAAAATACAGTCTTGCTACATATAGGATAATTGGGTTTAATCAAGTATGTAGTAAAATAGTTCTCGGATATGAAATAATAAATCGGACCATTGCCTTGAGACACATTACTACGTCTTTGGTAAAGTTTTTGGTCATAATTTATGACGTTTGTTTCGTGTTTCGGCTGTTGTGATTCGTTGCGACTTCCAATATCATATATCTTTCTTTTAGGCATAGTTTCAAATTCTGAGGCTATGAATTCTGCTGTAAACATAACAAGGAGACGGCACTAATTGCAAAACATAATTGTTTTTGCGTCATATAGTTTCTTGTGCTATTGAAGGGAAATATTTGAGTTCTTATTTACCGGCTTCTGAATAAATCAAGATGATCTGAGGATGTTGACGTGATCATCACAAATGCTAAAATAATATCTAACTACTTAGAAGGAATGCATATCATATATTTGAAATGTACATCAAACATAGAACTTTACAACATTTTCACGGAATCTTATAACCTTTACAGTAAAGAATGGTGTAACATATGTCATTTTCCTAAACTAAAAACAAAGCAGAAATCAGCTTTCCTCGATCTTGATGTTTAATTCAAGATTTACATGGCGGGTATGTGCATAACGATAAGTCGTCCAATAACTTTGTCTTTAACTTCAAACACTATTACATTTCCTTTAAAAAAAAAAAAAACCAAAAAAACAGGTTTTCTTGATAACGAAGGGAATCCAACGTAAACATTTTCCATTTGAATCTTTCCAAAGAAGAAATACTTGCTAATCACGCTTCAGTATTACAATCAAATAGATTTCCTATAAATGATATAAATACGGACTTCCCGTGTTATGTTATATTCCTTAACTTCACAAGAAACCCTATATGTTTCATTGCCGACTCGTCCATTGTTTAACCAATTCTTGATCAAAATCAATAACCATTATTCGTAGTATTATCTAATATCGGTTACTGTCTTATTGTGGTACTTTTACCCAAGAACTGGAAATAATAGAGTGTTGATTTTAAATAATGCAAATCATCCTTAAGATCATTTGATATTTCCACAGTGTACTCCATTCTAATCTGAGCGAGCGACTTCGCTCTCTTGTAATGAGAGCTTCGTGTTCCAAAATATGAGAACGGAAATAAACAATAACATGTTGTTATGAACTGTATTGAAGCGTTTTTCGTGAAAATATACGGATGACGAAGTCGGGATTGATTGTAAGACCTACGGGAACTTTGCCTCTCTGTTGGTTGACCTGGATTTTGTTTTCATATGAGGCTGAGTTTATCGAAGGTTTTATCAAACAAGTTCACAAAGACATCGCAAAGTCGTTTAATTTCACTTTCAGATATATTAATGAGGTCTTGACTTTAAATAATATGAAATTAATTGACCATGTCCATCGTATACATCCACCAGAATTGGAAATCAAGCACACGACAAGCTCCTGCGAAAGCTTCATGGGCAGCTTTCCATCAAGCTGCATGATGAACATTACAATTTCAATTTCCCTATTGTGAACTTTCAATTTCTGGCAACATTCCTATATCCTCAGCTTATAGTTTTTACACGTGGCAGCTGATTCGATATCCGAGGGCCTGATCCCTTTATCACGATTTTCGTCCAGGAAATCGTCAACTGAGAGTTAAACTCATAACACAGGATTTCTAATGATGCAGAATGAAGAGAATGTTACGGTCATAATTTTGATATGAAGCTTGGCGAGTTGGATTCTCTTCAGTTGCATGTTTGTTTCGTTATTGTATACCTTATTCTCATTTGAGAACGTGAAATTACTTGCTTGGATTGACCAAGGTTAACATGGCGGTTGTCGTCGATAAAGCAAAAGACGCTTACCCGTCAGGAACACCTGGTTTCATTCGCCTTGAACTTTTTCATGAATCTCCATGTAAATGTTAATTTTGTTCATATTTTGCCCTAGATTTATTTAATTTAATTTGATATTATGTTGACATGTTGGTATTTTGTATGTTTGTTTCCTTTGTATTAGCTTACGTATCTGACAAACATCAAAATAAAATAATTCAAAACTTGAATGCCTTTGCACCAAATCATTCGGTTTTTGTTTCAAAATAATCAGCTTGTGTCATAATTTTGCTCCACTGTATCTGAATCTGATTGTATTATAAAAAGTATTATGAATTTGTTTTTCTTTTGTGCAATCGTTACATACTCCAGTCCAAAACATGCAACACATAGCCTCTAAATGAAAGTATTGCTTCGCCTCATAGGTGTCTATCGTGAAACTGCATTCCCCAATGATAGCGATCTTAGTATTTTTAATCGTTCTCTGGCAAATAGGAAGCGTTAAATGGACACATGGCATATTGATAGGAATATCAAATTCCATATATTTGCAAGATAACATTTTGCCATGGCCTAGATGAGTTTAATTATAGTTATATCAAATTTTTATGAGGAAGTGGTCATATCACTCATGGAATTTCGGTCTTTGTTAATGGATGTGTCAGATTTAATACATGGCTCCGGTCAGTATGAAATCAATCTATTAATGATGGTCTTTTTGTTACAGGTCACCGATTCTTTACAGATCGAGGGTACGCCACCCGTACACCCGAAATACTTGCCACTAAGAAAAACTACACAGTGAAAAGGGGCAACCTCGCTATTTTACACTGCACTGTTCAGAATCTCGGAACGAAGACGGTAAGCAATCTCCTTCACAACACTGCTCCAAATCTCCCTTGACTTCACCCCCCCCCCCCCAAAAAAAAAAAAAAAAACGGAAAAAAGTTATGAAAAGAATCGTACTCAGCAGATTGAATGATGTACACACTGAATCTTATACTAATTCACCCTAAACAATAATTGTTTATATATAACTTTTTGTCTAAAACAATGGAGGCCATCATTGATTTTTGAGGTGATACATTGTGGATTTAAACCATATTCATTTCATTTGTACTGGATGTATTTAATCAATGCATCTCTTCAGATGGGAAACATTTCAAAAATACTCTATCATTAAAACATTGCATTGAAAGTTTTGTGTGTGAGATGTAATACACATATAATTCTCATATTACGTATTTTAGCAAAATATGAAATTTAACAAATCCTTTATTATTATAACCATCACATCAAAATCAACCTTATTTGGTGAGACTGGTTTGGTGTTCTATATATACACGAATGTATTCTTGATATGTGCTTATTAATGAAATGCATGTGAAACACATAAATAATTTTAGCAGATAAACTTGATAAAAGACAGATTCTAAGTTATTTGAAGTAATTACGAAAGATGAATGCATTGTAATTTATTCTTCGGTTAATTATGATGTATGTAGTGGTGTACCCAATATAACGAATTTCGCCAGTTTTAACCTTATCATTAGTCAACTTTTTGTGATGGTACTGAGTGACTGATATTCGAATTTCGGGTAAACCAGCAATTTAGAATTATACAATACTGCTATTGAATTAACGATTTTCTGTATGGAATCTCATATAGGTCTTGGTAGAGCGAAGTAACTTAATGATCGAGTTTAATTCATTATCGGGCAAACTGTATCTCATTTTTGATTTATATTCAAAGGCTTTATTCTCTTGTGCTAATTTTGTAACAAAGATATTTTATCTATTTTCATTCCCACGTTGTGTCAGTCTGCTGATATGACAAATGAGGTGATTTAAGATAAACGGATTACCTAGGATTACAGAATTGTAAATAAATATCGCTGTAGTGGATCATGATAAAACTACACCCAACTACAAGTGGTTTACTTGATATGTAATTATGTTTTTTTTTCAACGTAAATATAGCACATCGGTCCTTTGCGTAAAGGTTTAAACATGTTGTATGTATGGTGAACGTCATATACATAAATGACATCATTGTAATGCTGTTGATAGAAATGTGTAATGAAAATAATTAACTAATAAGTTATTATGTGAAAATAGAGATATGAAAAAGCCAAGATCTGTTTTCATTTTATAGCCACATACCAAGAATTACTATGATTTTCCTTACATTGGCAGATTCCCAATGTTGGATTTCTTCATCCACGCTAGATCTATTTCTTTTAAGATAGGTAAATTAATTATCATCAACTTTATTAATCAAAGAATGATTTGTAGTGTATAAACATTGAACAAGTAAGCAGCTTTGTAAATTACAAACACTATTAAGATGTTACACATGTACACTCTTCATTGAAATAAAAGCTTTGACGTGAATATTCTTTAAAATGCAACTTGCTCTTAACATTCATTTTTTACGTATGAGAAGGGCAATGCGTTCTATTGCATGCTGGTATCTCATTGTCTTGTAATCAATAATTCGTACATGTATGTGATGGTTGAATGTTGTAATAAATACGATGAAACTGAAATCAACTCCAACTGATCCTCATGTCTGCAATGCTCGTTTTGTCTCAAAACAATCCCCGTGCTAGATGTTTACAAACCTAACTAGAGCGTTTCTAGATGAAGCTGATCGAGGCAGTTTGATGTCTACAATACATTTATATCTGCGATGAGTGTTAGAGTCCGTATTTGGGACTTAAATAATTTATTGTATTGGAAGAAGCATCAGTCAACTGGGAGTCACCGAGGCCACTACAAGTAAGATTAGGATAACCTTGTTCTACATGTACATGTAAACTGCCAATCCCTGAGTTGTCGGCTTCTTAGATTGGCTGCCAGGCTATATTACATCCAGGACGGTGATATCAAAGGATAGGTTGATTAGGGTGTATATATAGATACACGTATTGTAAATGCATTTCATATTTGGTTTTACGGTAATGGTTCGTATATTTATAAGCGTTATAAAACGCAATGAAAGTTTGACAGTAAAACAGCAGAATTTGAAATGAAAAAACACCTTCAAAATGACGGATTTGTCACACTGAGAAACATCGATTACTTTAAAATAAAAACTATGAATTACCCATTTTGTTTTGCTATAGACCTATCAAAATAAATAAACGTCTGTCGTATCTGCTTGTGTAATGCCAAAACATATTGAGCTCTGTTTTATAGGAATCTTTTATATTAAAAGATGCTATTTTCTCCATTTCCCAAATTTTCTTTCACTACATTCAAGCTTTGTTTTGTTATTAATGGGCAAGAAGAGCAATTTTTATGCATCATATTTTTTTCGTTTCTGGTATTTGTCGCATGCAGAGATGATTATGTTGATGGGATGTTTTATTATGCTGATATAAATCCATTACATAAAACAATTTTGTCACAGTTACTTACGAGGGAGAGATTGCATACACGGGGTATTACGTCATATTTAGTTCTTTACATCTACTTTATTTACTGTTGATTATTCTTCCGCTTTGTATTTCTGGTAAATGAATAGTCCGTCTGTCTCAATTTCAACTCGATTTTAGAAGGTTTTATATTGAGAACAATGATTCGAAGCAAATCTATGCCGAGAGTAGTAGCAAACGGAACGATAATGTATTTAAATCTAATAGTCCTAACTTCTATTGCGACTAGGTATATTGCTTACATTTATATACAAATAAAAGTTTCATTGTTATTCTTTTATTCTGATGGATCAGAGAGATGCTAGTTTGATCGCTGACCTTACACTTTACTAAGCGGATTAAGTTCCGGAGTCAGTGGTATTGTCATTTGCATTTTTTACTCCCCTGATATACATAAATGTATGTAAAATCCATCGACTTCCTGGCCATTAGAATGTTAAGTCTGGTGTGGTCTGTTGATGGCAGTGATTTGATTCAGGAAGTATCACAACTGACCTGGATCACGTGACAATCACTCATATCAAAAGAATCCATTAATTAAGTCTTTAAAAAACTTTCAGAGAGAAAAAAATCCTTCTTTTTCCATCAACATTGTAGGAAGAAATAAGGCGTACTTAATTTCAAAGTCTAATATTATAATTTTTGCTGTTAGATGTATGGAATTGTCAACCTATTAATGGATTCTAGAAAAACACAGCAACAGTATGTGTTTAATGTCTCTATGAAATAGATACGGAAAATATATTCGACCGCAAAATCACACCCTGGAAAATTGAGCTTCGGCCAAATAGGACAAGTAATCTATTCTGTTGCCTTTCATCTGATGCTGTATGCGTCATTCTAGCGGACGCTTTCAGAATTAAGTCAGAGAAGATAATATGGTTAAGTACATATATTGTCTGTAAATATTGATATTTACTACTTAGCGTAGTAACTAGATATGACAACACAATCATATATGACATGCAAAATGCTATCTATTTCTAAAGCTCGCCTTTTGACAACAAAGATAAATAATGATACCGGTATCCTATTGTCCAGCTGTCAAAAACTGCTAAATTAAGAACACTGATATCATTAAACCGTGTACTGCTCATTCAGTTAGATTTGCATAGATGATATACCAATGAGATAATTTCTGTTCGACAGTCAAAGATCTAAAGCTCACGAGCCTACCGTCATTTCAAGTTAAAGTTACACTTAAACACTCCCGACTTCTCCGATATCAGCAGGGAAGGATACCAATTATTAAGGGGCATATACTTTTGGAGCATTTATTTTTTTGTATTAATCTCGCAGATATACATTGATCATCTGTCTCTATGGTAGTTATGGAGCCAGAATTAGAGAGAGAGGATGCAGTGTGCATATTGTAGACACCCGTGAAATATGCTCCGTTAAAGTATTATGTGCACAATCTGAGTGTAATAGGTGTTTCGGCTCACCTCTCGCTTGCTTGGCTTGGGGGAAACACCTGAATGGAATTTCATCTTATTTCTGCAGATTCTCGAACTAAACTAAAACATAGGACTGAAGCATGTGTAAGGGACACCGAAGTAAAACACTGCCTTCCTAATCAGTTTAACAAGGCATTTTATGTATAGAGTAAACTAAATATAAGTACAATCAATTTGTTAAAAGGAAATGAAATACGCCATGAGAGTGTTGTATCGGATTCTATCTATTCTCATATCCTGGAATATTTTTATAATCCTGATGAGGAAGCTGTTGAAGAGTCACTTGGACCAGTTATTGTTATCGTCCTTCAGCAGTTGAAGGATAATCTGAAACAAACATGCTAATTAAAGTTAAAAAAGAAAGATAATAGAAGACAACTACGTTTGAACGGAAAGCAATCTCCAGTCTCCGATACTTCCCGTGATACTCAAAGAGACGCCCATAAAATAAAAGTTTTGTCACGCCGTTGCGTGTAGAGATTCGAGAACTGTCATCATAATGTTTATAATTTACGACAACTCCGGAGATAAAAATGACCAATCAGATATAATTACACCTCTAGGATACAGCGCATTATTGTGGTCATTCCTGGCTAGCATTTCGCTTCTGAAAGTAAGGTCATGTTATAGTATGCTCGTCTGATCTATTTACAAACATAAACCTAATGTATAACAGACAAAATAAAGGATTAAGAAGAAAGAGATGACGATGAAGACGATGGCGAAGAAGAAATCTTATTAAAAGGACACTTTATTATGTCATCGTTTTTATACTAGTTCCATATTGAGCTGGCCATTTGACACTGTGATATTCACAGTCTTAGAACATGTAAACACCTTTTTTCACTATTTTGGATATAAAATTAAGGTCTGTTACACAAATAAATCCCTATAGGCTATTTGTCTTCCCTATCGTTTGATATGCAGAGTCACAAGAGAAGCATTTAAAGTGGAGATGATTGATCTACCTATAAAGAGAACTATTACAATGATTCATGTTTTCTAAAAATTCTATCCGTCAACTTGTCAATTCAGGAAATAACATTTTTATCAAATGGCTGTTATCAAAACGAATTCGTTTCATGGCCATTTTGTCCCGATATATACTAAATTATAAATGCACATGACTTGAATGTAGAAAAATGATTAATTGCAAAATTTTGCTTTCGCGTTCCAGGATTCTATGGCACGTTAGCACTATTGACCTTTCACACTGGTGTCTGTCATAGCCTATCCCGGAATACATAACCAGTGGCAGTTCTTCAATAATTTATCAAGAAGCTCTTGATACTACTCAAACCATGTACAATCACTGGGGAATCAAATCACGTTAATGATTTTAACGTCCCATAAAACCGCACAAATAACGTGTAATTTTACTGAAACAGAAAGACAGGAACACCTGGTCTTATTTTCATTGTACGCTTTTTTGCTTCTTCTATTTTGCTTTACTTTTTGTTTAAATTATGAATCCGTTAGCCTGCCGGTATTTTCGGAGTTGTTTTGATATTATCATTGCTTTGAGGTTGGTGTCTTCACAGAATGAATGCATTCATCTTCATTATTTGTCCTGTATACATTATATCAACACCAATATAAAACATTTTTAATTTAGGATTTTCTCCAAGGGATATGCAACTTCATCGCATGATAGAATAGTTTTTAACGGCATTGCTAACAATAAATTGATTCTTATTCACATGGAATGGAATCAGCATTAGTTATCATTAGATTTTACAATATGTAACTGTCTTCCTTATTAATGGAAGTAACAAGTCAGCATGCATAGGTGGGAGGATAACATTTCTGTTCAAAATACCTTCATATTTACGTGCACTTTTCTTTGATAAATGGTGGCTTATGAAAACGTTGGTGTGTGCTTCACTGGATACTATAATTGGGTGTCCATTTTATATTCGAAGTATGATCTATTGCACTAAATGGTTTTTGTCAATTATCTTATTGCATGTAACTAACGGATGTTCAACATTTTAAAAATGATAGAGCCAATTCATCAAAGTCATAAATTAATTTCCCGATATCAGAGGTATTTGCTTACTATTACAATAAACGATATTTAAATTCAATCGAAGTGCAAATCACGATTAGAAAAACAATCTTTTCGATATTTCGGGAAATGTGCAAACAAATAATCTTAAGAAAGAGAGAAGTATTTTTTCCTAACGGAGGAAATAAATAATAGCAATACCGTCATAAAAGTTTTCCGTCCCATGACGTTTTATCTTGACAAAAAATATTGAAAATCAATTTGAAACTGTAAAGGTATTTAAAGAAATTATGACACATAGATGACCGACAAGAGAAGTTATAATTAGATTCCTTGACACCTGTATAGAAAGTTGAAACAATAAATAGACGGTAACACTTCCTTGGCGACAAGGCGAACGTTGCAAAGTTCAGGGCTCCTCTATGGCTTTAACACTTTTCCAAAACGTATTATAGAGAGGTACCCTTTGTAAATACGGGAACTCATTGGAAACTAATTAAATCTAAAACTAACAAAAGTCCGAAAGGCATTTGCTCTTGTCTCCCTCTAGCGATAACATATATAAGAGTGCATTTAAAGAAATATATATCGTGAAGTTATTTGCTTTACAGTGGAACACAGCGTCCAAATACTAAATTACTGAAAACTCGAATCTGAAAAATGTCGTGTCTGGAGCAAATGCTAGTCGAGTTTGATATCGTCCACAAGTTGGAGAGCTAAGCAGACTTTGTATTAAAATGGGCATTTCTAAAAATCCAATTACAGCTGTCAAAGAGAGATCAATTCTATTATGTTACAGACTTATACATTGATACAGTCTGAACTCAATCTTAATTTATTTTCAGTAAGCTTTATGCAAGCGTGGTTAGTTACCTTTAAGTCTAAAGAAGTTGCATATCATTTCAAATTAGTTCCAACCCTTGCGAACACTGAATACATCTAATAAACTACCAAATGCTGTATGTGTGTCATCTTTCGTATCTTAGCAATTAAGTTCGCCGTTAACAGGCGAAAGCTACATGTCCAAATTTCTTTGTAAATTTCATTACCGAAAACATTATCGGATTCTAAGAGACCCAGGTACTCGCTGCTCAGAATGTATGATGCGTCGAGGTCACGCACTTTATCTTGCTCCGATCTTTATTCCACCACTGTTGATTCTGCAAAGGCGATGATTTGTTGCTCCTAGTCAGGTGTCGAGTTTAATTTGGTGCCCAAATGTAAATTGTCTTTGTGGCTGTGCATTATTTTTATTCTGTTTGAAACATCCTTGCGGATAATTGCTTTGCCTTAGTTTTAAACATACCCCTGTGGACGTTTCCTTTGTTGCTGTTCGAACGAATCTTGTGATGGGTAATAAAAGGAAACGCATTTTTTTTCAATGACATGAGGATTGATAATACAAAGAAAGCTTCGTGTATATGATATACACGTTTTTTGTCTTTAAAGTTAATATTGTGTTTTAAAGTTTTGTTCATTGCTATAAAAACTTTTTTTTTGATGTTGCAATGATATGTTACAAGCATATAAACAGGATAGGTTGTATGTGTAAATGTCCTTATTGTAAAATAAATGAAAACAAAATCTAAAATAACTATTTATGAAAAATACACAATGACGTGTGGGCCATTGGGATGTAGTTAATTTGCTTGAATGATGTCAAGAATATCGACATGTGCAGACTAGGACATATCATATTGTTTCCGTCAATCCAGATATTTCCTGAAATCCCCCACGGATACTTGTACGATTTTCCTGCTTGTATATCTACCAGACTTCTATTCAATATAATAGAAAAAAATATTTATATAAGTGTATACTTTGATCGTAACAGAATAATAAGGTCAGCGGCAATCTATGCAATGTCATTTTATTGTGAATTTTATGGTAACTTAATAACTTTTAGCTCAATCACGCGAATAAGCAAAGTACATTGGTTAATAAAAGACTTCAATCTCACAAAGGCTACATTTTTATTGCAGCATAAATGATCCTAGCTACATGTATGAGCAGATCAAAGCACCATGTGGTGTTGTCTTCAGAATGTCATGGCAGGGTTATACAATACATAGGCGATGTAATTAATTTACAAAACCTGTATAATAGTTTAGAAAGTAAACATAAATTCATATATATCATATGCATAAAATTGTCTTTCTCAATTTTTTTTTCAATTTCGAATTTCTTTTTTTTTTTTTTGTGGTCAAATGAAAAACTAACTTTTAACTGCATTTGATGTATAGATTTCGTAGTTTCTATTCATCGTTTCAGAAAGAATTTGAATATGTAGAAAACCAGTGAATATTGTATGAGTTAAAATCATGAATATGCTAAGATATGATACAAACATATACACTTCTCATTGTAAATTCGAACAAACAATCTAACAAAATGAAAACTTAAGAAATGTAAATAGTGATTTAACATATAAATTAGATATGTGAGAACATCTTACGTATTTGTAAACTGTTAGTGAGGTAGAATCACTGTTATGGGTAGACAAGCGCAAACTTGCAATTCAAGTCAGACGTATGGATGTGACACCTTGGTATAGCATGTTCAGATTTGAATAATCTATGGTTAAGTGCGCAATATTCCTGCATCATTATTAAAATGCACTGTCACCAAACCATCATTCTGTGTACAATCTCACAATGTCCCTCGTTTAATGCATATACAATTGTTAGTTTTTATTTACTATTACCTTTGTGCGAGATTAGGATTGGGGGACAAGAAATGTGTCAGACTAAGCTGATTTCAGCAATTAGTCTTAATCAGAAATACATCAATACAGATATCGCGGATTTTCCACACTTTTCAAATACCAGTAAATTTATGAAAGCATTTTAGAATAATAAAGTTTTGCAGCGAGAACAAGTTTTCAAAATAATTACGCAGCAGAGAGAAATTAATTTGCCAATTTATACTGAGTTTTTTTTTAAACTGGATTTTTAATGTACACATTTTGCACCCAATGATACCGGAACATAGCTACATTATTAAGGACAAGTATCTCATATTCAAACACTATTAGCACTTTTATTATATGTTGTACTCTTTCAGTTTTTTTTCTATGTAAAACATATCGAGAAATTATATATGCTCTCATTAACGAGACCATGATGAAAGAAATAAAATTCTCCTTGATAGTTATCAACCTTTAAGTATCATAACCCTTTGTTTTAATCACTTGAAATCAAACGTCGATATTTATCTACGGAAACTGATAATGATACCTTGTCCTTAAATGCTGAATCAAGAAAGACATTTCAACCAATAGTAGGTTTGAATGATATAAGTGCTTATAGTGGTAAAATTTAAAGTTAATCATATCGTTTAGTGTTTGTTAGATCGATAGAGAGATCGTTAAAAAAAATGTCGATGAAGAAAACGGCACTTACCCTTCGGTAAGATCTTCCTGTTTCTTCTTGCATTTGTAAGGGTATATCTTTATTTTAGTCATACTCTTCCCTAGGTCTATCGAAAGAGATCATTTGAAATAAGATTATGTTTACATGTCGATATTATCTTTGATGTTTTGTAAATACAATGCTTCTATTTTTTTTATTTATTCTTACTAGGTCGTTTGGAGGCGATCTTCGGAAGAAAACCCGCTCACTGTTGGAGAATACACTTACGTATCCGACGCGAGATTTAGTACCCAACACAAAGTCCGTCTCGATCAATGGAACCTGCACATTCGAAATGTAAGTTTGGAGGACGCTGGGACATATGAATGTCAGGTCAGCACCAAGGACAGAAGCATCAGACGTCAGTTCAATTTGGACGTTCAAGGTAGGCATCTTCACCAAACTAACGCAAACTAATCCCATTGAAATGAACACTAATAATGATTACTTACAGTATATACATATATATGTATTCGCATTTCAATTTATATCTATATTTGGAAAATATTTCTTCCCTTAATTGCTTGTTATGCTAAACAATCCTTATTGGGGACACTGTTGTAGAAATGACACATTTGCTCTTCAATATGTTTAACTCTGTATGCTATACACGATCAATGAACATGGTGTGATACGAATGGTATACTTTCATCAGACTACATCGTTTTTTTATGTACAAGATGTAATCAGTTTAGAAGACAGTAATCCATTAGATTTGATCAGCTTATAAGCTTTGTATGTATAAGATTTTATCAGTTAACACTGAAACATCGTGTATAATAATTCAGAAAAAAGGGCGCTGTGAACACATGATACCCTAAAATCATTAGGATTTGGCTTCTGAAGCAGGCAAACGAAACATGTCGAGGTTTCGAATTAATTTATCGAAGCTGGAATGAATAGCCAGGCTCCAATTAATGCTGGGATATTTGTAAACTTGATTACAGAGTCGAGTCGACATTTGTCCTGAGTAACGTGATACCAACCTTAACGCTAACGCTGACCTAGGTCGGATATGTTTATATGTAACATCTATTTTTTTTAATGATTCTTTAAGATTAGAAAAAAAAAACCAATCATGTAGTATTAATTGAACCCAAGGTCATATTGCTGGCGATGTATTCATTTGTTCAATGTTGATGAATTATTCTCGTTGACCTCATTTACAAATCGGATTCAGAAGATACCAATCTGAGCACCGGAGAGTTTCAGTTTGGCTATGAATCACGCTAAAGGGATAACTGCCCATGGTTATATAATATAAAGTTCTTCTCCTTTACTTCTATTGACTCTTACACATAAACGCAGTATGCAATTAGTACGATAACCCGCTCTTTGAAATATCTTGAGTTTGATTGAGTATCAGATTATGGCGGGATAATGCAATAAGTGATCGAAATACGTCATCATTGCATCTGATATTCTGGATTCTTCTGACTAAATTAATGGCGAATGTCAGAGTGTGTATTATCTAATTTGATATTATTCTAATTTATTAGGTTTTAGTTATGTGGTATTTTATTATAAATCCGATTTGAATTCGGGCTAATGACGTTTTAAAAGGCCTTTACATTTTGAACGCTTTATTTGTTTTTGAAATAACAGTAAATAAAATACATGTGATATGTTTGTCAGAATCCGATAAGCGTATTTTTAACAATATTGTGATTAAATTAAAGTGGCTATCAGCACCCATGACTATCGTGACGATCAATGCAAATGTTACACATGGCAAAATCCCTTTTGAATGTTATATAGAACGAATTAGATAATAGCATACCATCTTTATCGAATACAAATCAATATGATATATGTACATTAAACTATTACATGAGAAATCAAAGGTTTTCCCTCGCTGTAGACATCAATTTTACCCATTGTAACCATAGACACATACCTATGGCGCTCTTCTACCTGTGTCTGTAGACACTAACAATAATATTTAAAAGGATAGGGATTTGAATACTTTCATTACTGTATTTCAGATTGGGCCAGATACCATGCAGGTAACTAATATTATGTTGATGTGATGTCTGCACTCTTCTCACTTAACATCAAGTGTCATTTGTGCTATGTAATCTAGATATCGTCCTATCTCAATTCAAACACGCATCTTTTATTTTATTGTATAAAGCTTTCTAAGATTTTTTCTCTCCTCCATTGCCAAACATTTAATGGGTTCTTATAATCTGGCCACATGCTACTCTTGTTTTGTGTTTTACGCACTGTTACCATTTACCCGTCACTACACCGTGAATCTGCAATAAATGATGTTTGACAACATTAAAAAAAAACTCGTATTTTTGTCATGGTTTATCATATTCAAGACGCAAGCATATCAGAATAAAGAGTATGATTGTCTCATAAACGGTGACACGGCTTTGCTACTTATTCTGCATATTTTTGTTCTTCTTTGTTTCTGTAACGATATATCTAGTAAACTTTTGACGTCTTTTGCAGCTATTAAAATAACCGGAAAAAAATTTGTGGAGAAAGGTGAGCCGATTGTGTTAAATTGTAATGCGACCGACTACTACGCACCGCATGATATAGACTGGTTCAAGGACGGTGACAAACTCGATTCGGATGAAATCAAAGGGATAGAGATTACCAAGAGTCTATACCTTTCTCGAAAGACAATCACAAGCGTGCTGAAAATCAAGAAAGCTAATATGAAAGACGCTGGGGACTACTTGTGCCGGACATCCGAACGCTACATTACAACAATACACGTGCAAGTTTTAAATGGTATTACTTTCTTTCTTCTTTTGCAATTTTCGTTTTAATCTGTCGTAATTCTATCCGTTATCAAATTTCTGTATCATTACTGTAGTAACAATTGTGTTGCGCTCTCTCAATAAGTTGATTTGCTTTGGCCTAAAGTCATTACAAAAGTAGATATTTGCCACCTAACTTTCGAATTATACTTCTATCACGAGGGTTCTCAGATAGAGTTATCTTCTGTCACACCGCTACACGGTATCAAGACATTCGTTTCTTCCTCCATTTGTTTGTGTGATTGTCCTCTCGCTGTTGCTCTACTACATCCGATATCAATAATCACGTCCATATTTCATTATTTTCTATCTTGAAAGTTTAGAATGTTATCTTTAATTTGTAACCTTCATTATCTTTGGTATATAATGTACATTGAATGTCATAAGTATTTATCTACCGAGAAGCTCATTTCATAGGGTTTAATATTTCCGTTTCATGATCAAAAGGAGACGGCAACAGAGATTTCCAAACTAATGTTTTAGTTATCATAACACGGAAATGTCATAACAAGTACACAAAGGCATGCTATTATGGCATGATGGCATTATACATGTAATAGGCGAAAACGTCCTTCAAACCGAAATGTTTCTGATCGCTAGCAGGAACCAATTTATGAAGTCCAACTTTATTGAACCAGCTGTAAAAGCAAGGCAGGAATTTATGTATTTCTCACTGTCAAAAGGGAACAGAACGTTTCCTCCGCCAGAGACCGCAAAATATAGTGTGATGCATCGTAAGGCGCCAACTGTTCTTACTCCGATGGAACATTAGACTAGATCTAAGAAAATTGAAGTTGTTTTGTGAAGCATAACAAATACGAGATCCGACATCGAGCCGAATCGTTGTATGTGGTATAATAATGAAAAAATACTGAAATGCTCAAACCATAACAGATAATTTTGATAAATGTCCTTATGTATCTAAGGTAGACATTTCTTGTGGTCCAAGTACACGTTTACATTATGAATCTCAATTATAATTCTTTCCGTTTTGAAAAATGATGCCGCAAAATATTTTCATTCGTGGACAAACCTTGATTTTAACATTTTCCAAGCCTTGATATTCTCATCTAGAAAATCTTTAAAACATTACCGTTAAATTCAAATAACTGCCAAATATAAAAGTTATGTATTTAGGAAACCGATGTTTACCGCAGTATTATTGTTTCTACATGATAAAAATTAGACAGAAATTTGTATAGTATACTAGTTGGTTGATTTGTCAGTGTGATACTGCAACAAATCTCCTGTTACGGGCCTTGCTAGTGAGTTAATTGTAGCCCTAATCTATAGCATTGTCGATTGGTTCACATGTGTAACGCTACTACCGGGACAAGCCCGATATTATTTAGCTGATGAGCTGGCCTGTGCAATACTGCTAAAAACCACCTGATATATCAAGTTACTCAGTTATTTCGCCCGTTTAATTATACTGCCCGCGTGACAGCCGTGTGTATGTAAATAGATAGGTATATATACATAGAAGAAGAAACTAGCAACTAATGATCGTACTGGTAGAACATCTCTCCGTTTCTCTAATGTACAGTATTGCTATTGCAAATCCATACTAAAGAGTGTTTACTACTTAAATTGATAGAATTCCATGTTTTGGAAGATATCTTATGTGTTCTTAGATCTTACATTTCTAATAAAAATGTAAGAATAAGCTGAAAACGTCAATATTGTTGTGGTACGTTTGATTAACTTATATGTACCATCGCGTACGAAATTAATTGACACTTTAGCTTGACCTTCTTAAAATTGATCAACAATGTTATCCCGTTCTCCCTTGCATGTCAAGATAGCACAGGTACTGTAAATTAGGTGTAAAATGGTATCTTGCTTTTTCTCATTGATCTTCCAAGAGTTCGCATGACCTTTTCCCTTAAAATACAATCTAAGCAATAACAAAACAAATCTAAAGGGACACAATCTAGCACAAGTGCATTTCAATTTAGAATTACGTGGTGTTCGTAGTATTAAAAAATGTCTGACGAAATTTGACTTTCTTTGCTCAAAATAGCGTCTCAATGCTGACGGTAATGGAATTGAAAGTCAGCGTAAACTCTCTAGAGTTTCAGCTCTGACAGCTTTTCTAGGATTCTTGGAAAACATATAATTCCCAGCCATTAATTTGAAAAATTCAAAAGGAAAGGAATTAATAACTTCGCATTTTTGTTAGTAATCTGAAAATGATTCTTTTGCTTAATTTTGGTTTAGTCCTGTGAACATTTAGAATGACTTTTCTGAAATTAACGCTATGTTTAACACGCTTGTTGTCATTGTCTTCATAACACCGCCAATCTCATTACGTCACTACCAGTGCAAATAAGACCCAAGTTAATTATATGACAAAACATATCAATTTCATCTTGAATCCTTGATTACAATTTAACAACTGATGCTAATACTTACAAACGAGTTAGAATATAAGTATTTGTAGTTTCATATCAATAAACAAATATGATAAATCGAATTAATTTTAAGTTTAAACATAAAATATAGTGACATTCGAATAAAGAGCGCATTCAGCAATCAGTTACCGTTTATTCTGTCATGTAAATAACCGAGATAAAAACAAAAACTAGCAAAAAACCAGGAAATTAGCGAAACCGCAATCTAATATCAAAATCGATGAAACGAGTGCAAAATATGGCCAAAAGAGACACTTGCACGGAGACCATGACCATGCGTTCCGTAAGGGTAAGTGTTTCTGCTTAATTAACGCCATTGACTCGATCCGCCATATGGATATGATCAATCAACGTAAGTTAAGTCACGTTCTCAAATGATAACAAAGGTAAGCAGACGACACTTACTCGTACGGAACACGTGTCTTATTCTCCATTCTCAGATGTCTCCGTCTGTGTAAATCTTTCTTTTGGTCTTATTTTGTCCTAGTTTTATCGAGTTTGGATTATCATTAGATGCATGTTGATATGTTGGTGTTATTAATTATTTTTGGTCCAACAACGAAACCACCTCGAATACTAAATGCCATCGAAGACATCTCACTTCATATTGCCCAAACAAATGAAATAATTCTTAATGGGATCATGTTTATGATCATAAAACTTTCAATAGACATCATCAACTCTCATCTTTCGAATATCTGTGTAGAAATGTGTATCCGTCAGATATCAGCAACTTTTACGAAACCTGTACTTGGAGGAAGGTAACCACCATAATTGAAATAAGCTTGCTATATATCTAACTTCATAAAGATTATATTGTTGGCTTTGCTGTTTGAAATGATCAAGTCTACCGACAAAGAAGACGTATAATACTATCCGAAAAAAGACTGTTTCCCAAAACATACAAGGTGTTGGAGGAGCAAAGAACTATAAATCTGTATTATATATATTGGTAATGTGTGTGTAAGGCGTATACTGCTAGTTAAATAACTCACAAACATGACATGAATACGCTTCTGATATTGTCTCAGCATCAGGAACACTTGCACTCTTGGGTAAATTAGTATGTATTGCACTTGTAGATATGTTGTAGCATGTTATGATTAATTTACTCTCTAACATTCTGACCTATCCACCATGTCTGTACGTATCAAAACTATGTATTCAATTACCTGTGAGCGTATTGTCTACGTAAAACCTGTATAGTTATCTTTTAGCAATGCACCCATATACATGTAACCATATAATTTGTAGGCAATGAGTTGAAGAATAACGCATCTCATTGGTTTGTGAGCATCATGAAATTACCTTAGAAAGGTGAATACATTACAGACACGTTTAGGCATACGGGATGAATGACACAAGGATAATTTCTTTACAAATCCAATGTTCCGTTGTGGCAAATCAGAGAAACATTTATATCCCCTCCCGATGGACTCAAGTGGTGATAAACACGTCGCCAAAATGTACAGGTAATTGTTTCGGAAATGAATTAACGTATTTCGAAGCAGTATGCAATTAGGTTATACTGACATACGGGTGATATAAAAAGAATATGACATAAATTGATATAAGAGTAGCTATTCGTCTACATAACTAGTATTTCTATTCACAAAAGTAGCCACCATCCAATACGAACATTATTTACATTAACACGTATATCATCGGTTAATTGATTCAGATTTTCCTTTTATAATTTCAAATTGAAAACATTAACCTACTGCAGTGATGCATTGTTGAAATACTCAAATATACTAGTACACGGCATGTATCAAACGATAAACGTGTGGGTTTAAAACACAATAAAATAACCAGTTGAAAGGCTATTGTTTCGTATGATATCAAGATGAATCGCCCTTCAGAGAACTGACATCAAGAAACGGTCTGTCTTATTATTGGTTCACGATTACGTTTTTTTAAACAAACAACAACATCGATTTTTCATTTTTTTCTCCTTGAAGCAATAGCGGGACATAAAATGAAAATACTTTGATTTAAAAAGAGATAACAACAAGGAATATGCCAAAATGTCCTCGGTATCATAAATGAACAAATTAAACTCAATTAAACTATACCAATATTAGAGCAAAGTAAAAAGAGATTGATACGGATATTACTAAAACAAAATATCAGCGTGATATGACCATTATCTTTCAATACTCCTGTGAATTACAATAGATACTAAGTTGTAAACAACGTCATTTCCTTGCGGGTGGGTCACCTTTGCTATTACTATTGCCACAATTTCCGTCTTTGTCGGCACCTCGTTCACTGGAAAGCCCTGTTGAATTTTCGATAATTCTAAAGCTATACTTCGCTATACTTTTGACATTTCATGTAAGTAGTTGTTTAGTGGATACATTATTGGAACCTAAGGTACATAAAAGTCATATTTAGAGAACTGTAACATCATTTACTGGTATCGTATATACTTAACACTGTACTGTAAGATTCTAAATGCATCTTTGCAGTCTAAAACCTGTCTATATAATGCTGCTATCTTATCGTCCATAAATTAAAATGTGTGTCTTCTGTTTTACAGCGGATACAAATACCTATGTAAAAAGAGGTAAGTTATACCCTTTTTATGGAATGTCACTTTCATGAAGAATTTATCAACGTGAAGTAATGTACATGACGATAAGTCGTTGATGCAATGAAACGTTTGGGAAATTTTACATATTTGTTTTGAATTTTTCTTTCTTCGAAAATAGTTTTGCGAATTCCGCAACTACAAATTGAATAATTATTGTGAATAGCCTCCGAGTTTGCTTTTTTCCCCTTTTTTTTCTTTTTAACTTTTAAAATAGAATCAAGTATTCATATAATGTGCACCTGTCGAATTAGTTAGAAATTATTCCGATAATTCAATATGTTAAAGTGAATGTTTCTGTTACAGGAACCCAGTCTGAATTTTCACGCGACGCCAACAGAGGTCATATTAGTGCGCCTGCGATGTGTGTTCATTTATTACTACTGACATTGATTCTTCTGTTCCAAACATGACACCCCTTTTATTACGACATTCAAACGACAAGTGCCTTGATGGGCGATTCCCGAGGATAAACTCGTTCTTGGCTAGTTTTGTAGGGATGTAGGAGTAGTGTTCCGAATGAAAGTCAGGGGAAAATGTCCTCGATAAATTGCCATAACGGAACCTACAGATGAAGCAGAACAAGATGACGTTCAATAACTGCAACAGATTGACCAATGAATCTTGTGAATTGATAAAGGGTTTTGCCTCAAATGACATATAAAACAATATTCGACACAAGATTATTTGAATTTCAAATAGATGTTATTTTCAGGATGATGAAGCCTGTTGCGGTGATGTAATGCAATGTTTTTCAAAGTATTGAACATATGCCAAGAATACACAAACAAAGTGTATAGGTATATATTGGATATGGCTACAGATTGTATGTTCAATGTACATAAATATATTTTGGTACGATACTTCTCACTCATTCCAATCAACTCATGTAATTTTATCTTGAGAATGTTCCATTGATAGTCTTCATTCAAACACGCTTGGCATGAATTTGCTGTCTTCAGTAAGTTTGCATAAATCATTACTATTGACATCAATCGCTATGATGGCTTTATCGAAAGCAAGTCATAAATCAATGTCACTTACAAATGGAATAAAGAATATGACATTTCGGATTAAAAACTAATGCTTATAAAATAATAATATGTAACTTTTGTTTCGAAGATACATTGCATGCGATGTAGGGTAATAAATATTTAATCAGCAATCAGAGATGTTGTATACAACCCTGCAAGTATAATCCTAGGTCCCAGGAGTCTTAGAAGAATAGGACCGATGATATTCTTTTTTTCTCATTTAACTGAAACTTTATTTTTAAATTTAGCAGTCTTTATAGTTAGCCTTTCAGATGGTCATTTCATGTATCTGTAGAGATCTAGTCTAAGGAATATATATATACTTAGATTTGTATTATGGTTCACCATTCGATAGGAATGTGTTTTATACACTACATTACTTGATCTATGTAGAATTTATAAGGAAAATATTGTGATGAATGTTTATTTAATCGCTAAAAGGATAGGTCATTTAACTGTATGTACAAATATTACAATGCAGTCTATAATCTACAACCATGTGAGTAATCTACATAAATATATGTTCCATTATATAAATTAGCTAACATTTGACAAGAGTACAATTACATGAATCATAAAATCTATATTATGCTTGTTTTTCGTAAAGAAACGCAAATTCTTCGGGTTAATTTTAGACCGGATGTTAATGGATGAGAAATGAGGACATGCCCACGTTAAACAACCTAATTGGGCGATCATTGTATAAATGGTCACACAGACTTTCAGTAATATGGGAGTCATGTCTCCGGTGTGAATACTATTGCACGTGATCCCTTAACATAGTGTGTCTTGGACATGTATTAATGGGTTGTTACTAACATGACGGGTACTATCTAACAAAGGACCGTAGTTAGCAGCTTTTGAAGTAAACAGAGTATATCAGTGAAGTCGTGGATAGCTATTACTCATTAGTTCAGCTGATCTGTGAAAGCAATTTACCAACAGTAGTCGGAGGTAAATTTAAATGTGTTTATATAGGCAAAGATATTGCTTACCTTACACTATAAAACTAGATATAAATAAACTCGGATTAAAGCATTATAATGTGCTAATAGATCTGTGTGAATATTTTGCGCATAAAATCAATACATATATGTTGCCAATATTTTGGAACGTCATAGCTGTCGTATGTGTTTTTTTAATTGCATTTGGTTGCTTTTAGTTATGTATTCTGACTCTATGGTCATATACCATTGTTCAGGTAGTATGTTAAGTGGTTGAAGAATTAAATGCAACCTCAATAAGGTGTTGGTGTTTTAGTACATGCTATAGATATAAACTATCATTCCGTGGTCCTATTATCACCTTCAGTAGTTTAATGATTACGTGATGTAGCTTGTACCATGGATTGTGGGGGTAGTTTTCTTTATAAAATAAAAGCAACAGCATACAATTAAATTTAAACACTGAAGACATTTATGCCACTCCACACTCTACATACAAATTAATAGAACGTTTGGTGAAATGCTTTCATGTCACAATACATTAATATGTGCAATTGAAGAAATATCATTTTAACATACACGTTTAAACTGTATACTTAAGTTTAAGATCGCTCTTATTTTTAAATGTACCTATTTGTCATAATACACTAAACTAAAAGCATTGTAAAAATCAAATTTCATTGTGTGTTTTTATTAATACTATGTCTACATGTAACTTATTTTGTCATATTGAACTACATTCACAATATTTCTATTTATGTATCTCTGTTCTGATTGAAGTGCATTCGACTATGTTTCTGGTCGGGTCGGTGTAAGGTTGTTGGCGAGTGGTCGGATACTTTTGTACGAATGTGTTCATGGTGAAAATGTAAACAATGAGAGAAAGAGAGATTATTTGGATTATTGAAATATTTAATAGAGATATTTAGAACTGTTCGTCGAACAGATAATGTTGATTTGCACAATGCTAACTATGAGGGTTATTTACATGTATATTAAGATCATACCAACAATATCTTACTATGGTTGATATTCCCACCGTTATTAAGTGGATCATCGCACGTGTCATCAAATTAATAAGATGTCATGGCCGGTTATCACGTGCGTCCAATAATATCTACAGTGTAACCACCAGAAATTGCCGACCATATTGTGAGGGTTAGTATCAATACGGTGTTGATGAATGCTTCGCAATGTCTCATTTTCAATAACAATAAAGACAGTATACTTTTATATCTTTTATGTCATTGTTATTACTTCAGCAGTAAAATGTTAGCAACGAGCAACATTCTGTTTATCTGTCACTCAACTTATATTCATATCGACTGTATGTTACCATTCGGTAACGGATCGCTACTAACTAAATATTTCAGTCACTGGAATGAAATCAGAAAACAGCTGATATAATTTAGTACCTCGTGTCAACTATCGTGTCGAAAAGTACGATCACATAGTTAAACTCGTTAATTGAACTTTGTAATCTAATTAACCAGTGACGGGGCTCTCACGGAGCGACGTTTCTTGTATTTCTTCGGGTATGTTTACATTGTCCTGTCGTGTATTTAGGTGCGTTTCAGAACACAACAGCCATAGAAGTTGACAGCAGAGGTCGCTCTATCATTAATTAACAATGATCACTAGGACATTTTATGGGTAACAGTTCCCATGTGTTGTCTGTGAGGTAGACGTTTAGTAATCGATGTGAGCAAACTTAGCTATCGCATATGTCATTGTGGAGGTTCTGAAAAATACATTGAGACAAGATCATGTTTATCAACGACATTATAAACCCAAGTCAATGAAAGTAAGTAATGCCACGCTTTCAATGAGAACAAGGTACGCGACAACGAAAACCTTCTCTTTCGGAACACCCTTGTTCTTTTATAGAAGTCTCCGTGTAACTATTTCTAGTATTCATGTTTTGCCTTAGTTGTACTGAATTTGAGATAATGGTTATATTGACATGTTGACATATGTTATTTTTTCAGCATTATTAGCTTGCGTCATGAGCAATATCTGTCTGGCGTCATCTTTTCCCATTAAATAGCTCCTTCTCAATAGCCAAAATGCCCGGGATAATGACACCATGCTAGGATTAACGGTTTACCAATGTTAATAAATGACCGGGACCTATTTTCAAGTGATCGGACATGTTTTAACAACTTTGCAAAGACCAGAGGCATAGGGTTCTGTTATCAGGCCAGATTAATGCTGAGATGTACAGCTACATATACCAAGTTTGTACCTATGTATAACTTTTACAGCGTATAGGGCTCTAGGGGTCAAATTTGTTATAATATTCAAACTGCTTCTTTTGAATAATCGATAAGCTCATGGTTTTAAGTAGTAGCATTCTTTGGAAATGACCTTTCAATGATGCCAAAATGTGGCGAACTGACAAATTGATTATTTTTTCTGATGTAAGCTAAGAACCAGGTAAGTGATTCAGGCCTTGGATGCCTCTTGTGTTTGATAAGTCTCTTGACATATACATTTGTATTTTTTTTTGTATATTTTGTGTTTTTGTTTTGTTTTGATTTTTGCCATAACCTGATGGAACATCTCTTCTATATCACACAAATTAGAGATATGTTAAGAACTGTACAACCAGATAAGATCGGTATTTGCCTTGAAGCGTTTAAACCAAAATCATAGGGCCTCTTGTTTTTTGTAATAATTACTTCAATTATACCAAAAAAGTATTGATCATTACAAAATACCTGTGACAGTATGTGGCGAGCTTTGATTCAAGTCAACTAATTACAAACTAGTATGCAAGATTTCCCCTTGAACTGGAAGTTGCAAAACAAGCAACATTCTGACGGGGATATGAGCATCAAAATAGAAATAACTACTTCATTTCTGCGAACGATACCAGGGTGTTAGATGGAAAACAATAATTTGTCTCTCTTCACGACGGTCATTTTGAAAAGCGTTTTTATTTTGTTATCCACTCATTCAACACTCGGATACAGTGGATGGAATTTACCTTCAGGCTCAGGACATGTGTTAAGCGGCATTTAAACGATCCACGACATACTGTAAAAGTCACAAAAAGGATGAAAATCGCTTTTAATTCTTAAAAACAAACCACAATGTCGTATTATAAAATTTAAAAAAGTATACAGTTGTTAAGAATTAAGTAGTATTAAGTTATACTTTACCCGGCTATAAATAGAAATCAAACATTTACCAACGGCTTTGCTGGTAATTAACATGTATGAATAACACACCAAATCTTCTTATTGCAGGATATTTAAGATGACAGTGAAACATTTGGTCGACCACCTTAGAAGTATAGCATCATTATGTAGTGGTAGATACAGCACCTGACACCCGGGTCAATAGCACTCATCTATAACAATGATTACAATTTGTTTTTATGCTTTCAATGCTGAGCTAGAAAATGCACACTAAGGAAATGTCATACCGGAAATAATAATCGAGGTTGTTGACATTTGCAATATACGCTATTCATTAGGTGTATCCTTGACATGAAGAGCACAAAAACGCCAGACAACTTGAGTAGTAACTGCAAGAAATAAGCATTAGGTTACAAATATCACTTGACATATTCTTTAGTACAAATATTATCAAGAACACACAGAGATCTAGAAGGATGTCTGTTTGGAAAAAATGATCCATACATAGTGTTTATCCTGACAAGTGGACACCAAAAATGTAAGCTGTAGATACTTAGTGCAAGTAGTTAAATGAATGAAAGCAAATGTGAGAAAGTGATAGACATTTATTTGTAACAGCATAAGGATATGCAAACACCGTACTGCACTTTGATATAAGTTTTATTTTACAGTGCACCTTGTTACAATAATAACAAATATTAAGCTAACAAATGCAGAGTTAAGACAAGGATGAGGGTAACTAAGACCAATTAACAAAAACGAACTTTTACCTTGAGGGTTAGGGATATCTGAAATACATATCAAAACTACAGACGTATCATCTTACAACGCTCTCGCTAACCTTTGTAAGATATACCATCTTGCATTTGTTCCCGAAACTATATTTTCTCATCAAATAAGTCCCCTGGTAAATGTAATTCATCTTTCAGCCATTGGAAAACACACTTTATGTTTTATATACGTTGTTTATTGGCTGGGGAAAATAACTGGCGCACCTATCAACGATAGTAGATAATGTATATATTTCTATTTATCCTTTGCTGTTGTTTGATATAGCCTATATTCTATAGGGGGTTTCCTTACAGTACAATAAATCTTTCTAGTCAAATGCACATATTGACAACGATGACTTATATATGACTATATATGAACGATGACTTATATATATATACCGATTGATTTAGTTTAAACCGTAACCTATGACTTTTTTTTATATAATGTTGATGGCAAATGGCGCCATCAGATGGTGGCCTTTTAAAAATCACTATGCATTATGCATGTGTCTGTCCATCCGTTTGGCCTATATTAATATTCTGGAGAAGCATTAAATGGTTCATTCTCAAAAATGTAGTTTCCTCTTTGTCCCGTTATGCACGTTGTGCCGAGTCTATTTTGTGACTGTTAAAAAAACGGAATAACTGACAGGCATTCGACCTGTTTTTGGACAGGTGTGATTTGTTATCGCTATTCCTGGGACCATACTAGAGCGATCATTCTCACACTTCACATGTAGATTTACTGTTTATTCATACTTAATTCAGGAACTGACCAAATAATTGTCTGATAGGTGGCTGTCTTTGTGTGTTTAATGAAAGTATGAACGTTTCTTGCATTTTAAAAGGACAATATGGATATTTCTCAAACGTTATATGCAGGACCGCTCAAGTAATTTGTAAAAATTGCCCCATAGGCTATCTCGAGAAATATTGGATGCTTTTCTCTCAAATATCATTAGTAGTTTATATTTATATTGTAGCTATTCCCATTTCGAAATCGTTGTGTTACACCTTCGTTTGGAAGCGCCTAACCTGTAAGAACAATTCCCATCAGCGTTTTTAAAAGTATCCTTGTACATTATACATGTATTATAAATATATTGTTATCGTTTTATCGGCTTTGCATTTTAAGTTCCGTGTTGTTCTTTTGCGTTTTGATAAGCACGCAACACGTGATAAAATAAATCGGTTTACAACAATACCAAATCAATCCTTTCCTTGTTGTGATTATTGTTCATTTCTGTAGTTAGATTTTAAATTCCAAACAAATTATCGTCACATTAATCGAAACGAATAGCAGGAAACTAAATATCAAAATAACATTTCATGTCCACAACAAAGATATGAAGGTGGGAAACAGTGCTCGAATGTTTCAATTACTTCTTGTCAAAATCGATAACGTTTTCATTAGCTTAAGAACATTGTCAATTGGGATAAATGTCTTGCAATGTAGAGTTGCTTTAAACATGAAATAAAGAAGATAGAGCACGTCGTGAGTATTAATTAACATATCTTCAATATGACTGGTTCTGAGGATTACTTCACTGAAGCAATAATTGCTTTTTAAAACACCTAACAACGAGATTATACACACTGTAGTGAAAATACAAACAAATGTGCAATTTATGCAGACTAAATCGTGAGTATTGATTTAGCGTTTTGGTTGCTCTTTAGTTTTTCATTGTAGTGACATTTCATTTCCTTGTTAGAGATGAGCCTGTGTCGGTCTCAATTAGCGAGCAACCCTGAAGCTCATTAGCACCGAAAACCATTAT